AGATTTCTCTTTCCAGTCTCAGGGGACCACCTGTAGTAATAATTGCTACCTAATTTTTGATTCTCTGTTCGTGTTCAAATTCAAATTCAGAGGGAGAGAGCATGCAGAACAACTCCATCCAGCTCTGTATTTCCCCTTTCCCCCATGTGTATGTGCAGATAAAATAACCTCCAAAGGTTTTACAAAAAAGTTTATTAAAATTTACTCTTGAAAGGTCATAAGCTGCAATATTGAACTGCCAACATTAAATTTTAAGCATTTTCCTATGCTAACACTCACCCACCACGATTTGCCGTGCAGAATCTGTGCATTCGCCTGTGTTAGTGTGCAGACTCCATGGTGTCTGGAGCCACTAGGAATGATGCTGTGGACTTCTTCACTGCAAAAAGAGATTGAGTTTGATTCACAATCTGGAGTATTTTTTTTTCTTATTTAGTGATATATAAAAAAGTGATATAAAAAAATCCCAGGCAGTGCATCTAAAATGGCTTATTTTGCATCCACATTATAAAACTAGCTTTAAAAAACCTGAATTCCTCTACTCTTCCCCCAAGCCCCTTTTTGTCTTACTTCACAGTGTGGAGGGACAACCCCTGCCCCCTTTTTCTCTAAAGGGTTTTTTGAACATTTGGGCTGTAAGGCTCCATTTTTAAATCTGGCTCTGAAAGCCTTTGTATGGCTTTATTTCAGTTTTCTTAATGTAGGTAGTGAGGTGCCAGCATGAGTTGAAATCTAAATACATGGCTTTGATTCTTTAAAGTTGAGGTCTTTAAAAAAAAAAACCACAAAAGAAAAGCAAAAATTGAAAATCTTCCTCATTTCAGAGCCTCCAGTTCAACATTTTGATGCAGACAGAGTTCAAAGCATTCATATTTTTAGTCACCATAGCAAGCTGCATTGCCGGTAGTTCTCACTGGCATTTCTGAAGGGTTTTCCCTTATCTGTCTCCTGTGATAGATTAATACAGAGCATCTGCTGCAAATGTGTTAGCCAGTGAGTGTCTCAGGATCTGTTTCCCCAGATTTTAAGCAGCCCTGCCCAGGCAGGAGCTGCAGTGTCCGTGCCAGCACGATACTGTCCTGCGGGCTCTGCTGGAGCAGGCAGACAGGAGCCGCACTGCTGCACCTTCAAATGCTGCGTAGCGCTAGCGAGGTGGCAGATGGTAGCCAATATCTGTAAAGATGTCAAACAATATGTGGGCTAGGTGCTAAAGAGTGTTTAAAGTGCATTAATTAAATCGATTGTCCAATAAATTGTATGAACTATCTGTTTTCCCATTCTTAGAAGGATTCCTAATAGTTTTTTTTACTTATAGGACTCTACTGATTTAAGGCCATGTGCAAGCAGGGCCAATAGTGCATTATGTCTATCCCTACTGTTAATGTTACATGCACAAATACTAATGTGGTGGGCTTGGTATGTTTTGTTAGAGAGATTTCATTTGTAAAGAGACCCATATCCCAAAATTGCAATAATATGGAGGGTCATCTTTACCTTATAAGGCCAGAAAATGCAGAAACAAAGAAATTGTCTGTATTAAGCCAACTTCTAACACAGATTTATTTTTTTTATTATTGAAACTCCTACTGTGGGAAAGAGAATATTTCTTTTTAACGCTGAACATCCAGCATTTTAACTTCTTTTCCTATATGCCTACAGCTAACCCTGATCGATGGCTTTTAAACGGTTTGCACAACCAAAGGTGGTCAGTTGGGGCTGAAAGAGAATTGCTTTGCAGCAAGGTGACTTCACTGAAACATTCATGGGTTTGCACTTGCTTACACAACGTTGGTAACCTTAAAGTATTTCTTTTTAAAAGGAACAAACTGAGTGTGATGACGTTTGTCAGTAAAAGATGGTTATGCTTCATCTAAAATTCCTCGCTGATTTACGCCATTACTTTCTGGTTCTGGAGAAATACTCGTTATCTTGCATGCACTTTGGTATTTATTTTGCTGTTGTTTTGGAAGGCGTAAGTCACTGTCGAGCGGTCACGTGAGGCTGATAAATTCCTTAAACTTTGGTTCGTATAAGTACAAAGGTGATGCTGAAACATAAATAAGTCCTGTGAATAAATGTGCTGAAAGTGTGTTTTCTCCTCCAGATTGAAACACGAGCTGTCAACTCTTAAGTGACTTACAAAGAGTGTGTTCTTCCCCAAAGTGGCAAATTAAATGCTGCTCATTAAGTAGTTTCTGAAATGCAAAGTGAAGCGGAGCTATGAGGATTTGGCTGATAAAGCTTTTCTTCATGTGCATTAGGAATGCAGAGCAAACACCAGCTCTGCACCTTGCATCCAACTCTGCCTTTGCAGAGAAGGCATCCCTTGACTTTGCAAAAACACATCGTTTTTCCAGATTTACGTAATTAAGTATTAACATGTTTCACTCTTCACTCAGCCTTGGGAAAAAAATTTTAAAATCCCAAATAAAGGCAGTGTTTGGCAAGGAATGGGAAGAATCAGTGGGGTTTTTTTCCCCCAGAATTACAGCCTGGGAGCTGTACCATGTACTTGGCTTGAGGAAGGCTCCAGCAGTAGAGCAGTTTTGGGGTAGAATATGTGAAATTCAGGCTGTATCTCTGAGTGCTTCGCTTGCTCGCAGCCACTCCATGACACGAACTTGGGAAGTTGCCTGCGCATCGCATGCAACTTGGTTTTCGGTAGCACACGGGTCTGGGGGAGGTCAGTCATGGTTCATACGTTCAACCCGTGTTCTGGGGCTGTTTGTTGGGCTTAGAGCCCAAGCTGGAAGGGGCGAATCAACCTTTGTATTTTGAAATGCGATCACACTGTATTTGTTACCGGTGGTGTGAGATAATCTGCCTGAATGCCTGTAAGAAGTTTTATTCCACTGAGATTGGGCTGGTGGCTCTTCACTGAAATGACACAGCCACGCTTGTGCCAAAAGCAATGGTATACTTGGATTTCTTGTTCTTTTCACATGTCAGTTTGGATGTTTGCTCATTTGTGTGCTTGTTCAATATGAATCTACTGCTTGATTAAAAAAATACATGATAATCATAAACTGTTTCCTGTGGCTTGTTCACTTGTGAATGCTCAGTTTTGAATGCTTTTTTGGACGTGCTGAATGATCTTAACCATTTACTCTGATTTTGGGAATGGATTTAACATAGGAAAAGAATTCTTAAATGAAAGCCATTTGACTGTTTTAACTTTGAGAATTAGCTGAAGTTCTAACACGAAAAGGTGTGAAATGCGAAAGTTGTCCTGAAATTGCGTGGATAACTCATTTGTGAAGATTATGTCTTGAAAAGAAGATGGAGGCTTGGAAAGGAATTCTTCCCTACATTTTTTGATCCCATGCTTTACCTTTCTGGCTGGAAGGGGTGGTGGAGTACACTGGAAGGAAAGTAGGATGTGGAGACAGTGGTTTTAGGTGTTGATGAGGACTGATTTTGGGTTTCTTCACCTTGAACTTTGAGGGATCCCAGCAGTCTATGTCGTGCTTTATAGAAGAGAGAGATTGATTTATCTTTTTTTAACTTCTTTTTTTCCCTGGGTTTTATGATATAATTCTGTAGGATATAATATTTAATGGCAGGAAACAACCCCTGTGAAGGATGCTTTCAGCCTTTCTGTAGCGGGGTGGGTTTCCCATGTACGGTGTGGAAAGCGATCAAACACACAGCTTCTCAGTGAGCCAGAAGAAAACAAATGGGAGAGTTGTGAATTTTTTAAAAATTGTTCTGCTAGTGCTGAGAGACTGAAAATCTTATTGACCAGGTCAGTTGTTTTTTCCTCCTATTAAGGTAAGTGGGAGAAATTCCCCTTCCCATTAGCTGGGAAAGGCTGAGCACCATAGTCACAGCATACGTTCCCCTTCCCCAGGCTTCTGGCAAGTAGATGCTTGTTTAAAATAAAGAAATACAAATTTTTACTTTGTTTGCTCAAAGTAAGATGCAAATGAGTAGATGTTTCTCTTTCCCATCTGTCTACACCTTTGAATTTCAGAGAGCAACTAATTTAATATCTTTTTTTATTGTTAGGTTTTCAGCTCGTGAAGAATATTTCGAGCTGTTTAATGCCAACTATGAATTTTAAGTGCAGAAAAGAAACCCATAAAAATTAATAAACCAACGTCTGGAGCTTTTTCATGGGATCCTTTGAGCGGGTGAAGTAGGATGCTAATAGCTAGTTTATGATAAATGCTGCTAAAGACAGGCAATTGGAGGAAGAGGCAATAAATCACAGGAGCAGGTGAGATGCTGCTGGCAACACCTCTGGCAGCAGCCACAGAAAACTGCTTTCTCCACAGATCCTCCTTTCAGTTTAAAGGAAGCACAGGCATTGTTTATTTGTCTTTAACACGGGCATCGGTGTAGTAGTTTTGCTTTGGATCCATCTCAACGGGAAGGGAAGCAAAGACTTTTATTTTATTTTCAGTAAATGACACTTTAACCTGGCATCCAGTAAGCATAAATAGCCATTATCTTGCACGAAATGAATGCCATTAGCATGTTGTCTGCTGCTAGTGATTCACCTCTTATTAAAGTCTCCAGATGGTAAAGGCAGAGCTAATGGGAAGAGTTTTATTTGGTCAATAGAGCTGAACTTTTTTTCCCCTGAGAAGTGTATTTTTTGGTGATGTGTATAGTTATTTTTGTCTCTTTTCTTGTGATTTCCGAGCCAGATACGGGTTAAGTTTTCATCTAAATTATTAGCTGAGCTCATCCCCACTCTGCAGTCACATACAATGGTGAGTTCTCTCAAAGCAAAAACCCCAAACCCTGAGGTGGATGAGAGACATCAGCTGCAGACAGTGGGTCTGACCTGGAGAGGCTACGAGCTAACTCTTGCTGGGATGTCTACGTAGGCTTCTTAGCGGCGCCCAGTCAAAGCAACCACTGAGTTGCTTTAAAACTCCCTTGCCCTTTGCAAGTCTAACCGTTCAACTTGTTGATAAGTTCTGCCTGCTTATTTTATTGTCGGTTAACCAGTTTTCTTTCCTTTGTCTTGTATATGGTGGGACCTCCGCTAGACAGAGGTAACGGTGGGGGACAGTTGTGTAGCTGGACCCTCGTGTGGTGGTGTATGTCAGTGGTTTTTTCCCGAAGCTGTTCCTAAATTCAGCCTTGCTTTCACCATGCTTCTGTGCTTGCATGACCTGGTTTCTGTGGAATAACCTCATCCATGCCTACTCTCCTCTGTATTAATTTCATTTTCCTTCGTGTGTGTGTGTGTGTGTGTGTGTGCGCGCCTCTTCCTGCTGTGTTCTTAAAATGGGTCACCAGTGTGGATTTCCTAACAGTTTTATGGATCCTTTTCAGTCTTTGAAGCTTCAGCAGATCAAAGAGACTCAGCTTTTTAGCTTAGTAAGAGAGATTAGCTGATAAAACACATGTGGTGTTTTATATTGAAACAAGATGTTGAACAGGAACTGGAGTGAGAGAGAGTGGGGTTGAGATTGGTATCAGTCCCGGTCCTCCTAGTGAGAGCTTGCTGATCACACTCCTGTATCGTGTGCTTCTGATAACTACGTGGTTTTGATAACTTTGATCTTACTGTATATTCATTCAAAATAGTTCTTTCTTGGCCACAGCTACCACAGGGTATAACTAAAATGCTGTTAGTGAAATATAATAATTTCCTTTTTGAATCCTATATTAAAAAGATCTGATTTTTGTAACACTAATTTCTCAAAGATTCAGCTGTAAGAGAAAAGGACACAGTGTTATTTATCAGTATTTCAGCTAGGCTAAACCAACTAATTAATATTGTGCTATTCCTTACCCCTTGTTTGGGATGGGGAAGCACTGATCTTTGCAGAGCAAATCTTGACAGATTTGAAGGCTGGAAAAGGTCCGCTGCATATGAGTGGAGATAGTAGGAGTGTGTGTATGTGGAATGGCTTGTTGGTGGCAAGGATACAAACAAAGCCTTCTGTTTCTCTATTTAATTGAATGTTTTATTTTCTCTTTTTGGGGTGTTGGTCGGATGAATAAATAGAAGCTATCCCAGGAGCGAGAGAAGTTTGCTGATGAAGACAGCATATTTTATGCGCTTGGCGAGTGTGGACTCATTTCTTTTTCCGACTACATCTTCCTCACGACCGTCCTTTCCAGTAAGTACAGTGGCTTTTTTCTCTGCAATTACTGCATTTTTAAGTTTTGAAGGTTTACAAGCAATGAGTTTGCTGTTGTTCTCTACATAGGTTTCCCCGAAAGGAATTCTCGATTGCTTGAAACTTGAGCTGGGTGAATAATTGCTATTGCTCCATCTGGTTTAGACTTAGTGGTTCAGAAAGATAAGGAGATTGATGACTTCCTAGGATTTATTTCTCATTTTAAAATGTGGCAATTTTTTTGATGGCTCCTTTGACCTGCTCTTCAAAGCTCTAAATGGAGATGTGTTCTTGAGCTGTGTTCGTATGATATTCTTGTGTCGGGGTGACTATTGCTTTCCAGCTCTTCACTGGTTACAAAGCTGTTTGAACTCTCTTCTCCAGCTGTACTTCCACGTGGGGAGGCTCAGGCTTGTACTTGATGTAATCCAATGAGGAGAGAAGTTAAGCTGTTTACGTTTCAACAAGTATCATTAGATATCTTCTGTCTTTTCACCGTGCCTCACTTGACTTGCATTTGTGATATTTCTGTGATCTGCTAATCTGTTCCAGCAAAGTCTTCTGCACTTGAAGTGCTGACACTCAAAGGTTTGCTTTGTTGGCAAGAAACAGTGAAACTGGAGCCTTTGGTAATGTCAAATAGCATTTCTAGGCTTTCTTCATGGGGAAAGCAAGCTCAAACCCTCGTTTGCAGAGCTGCTCTGGCTGCTTGGAAGGTGTTGCATCACAAACAGAAATTCCAGTTATTTTTCAGCCACATTAGGAAATGTGGAGTAATGGAGAATATGTCACTGTCCAAATGAACTTCAGCTATTTCATTTTCAGACTCTGAAAAAAAAACACCACATAAATAAAGAGAGAGAGAGCGCGAGCAAACTTGGCTGTCTAATCTTGGGAGTATCTGTTTCATGATGACCGGAGTACAGGAATTAAAAAGCTGGACACTTCCCAGTTTGCTGCAGACACCCATTGCAGCCCGCTCTGTGCTGTTCAAGGAGTCAGCTGGGAAATTCACGGATGTTTTGTAAAAGCAGCAGATGTTTTATTCCCCCACCGTGTTCTTGCATGCTGTAACATGGACAAATGAAAGAGGCAGCTCTTCATCTACTGAGGATCTATTACGGGGGAGAAGCAGCGTCCAAGGTCTTGTTTGTTGTCAGATGGACATGGCGAGGGAAGACTTGTATGTGACCTTCATGTTGTGAAAACAAACACTGAGAGATAAAGCTAGTTCAAGCCAGGGAATTTGTTTTATGATTTTAATCTGCTCTCTTTGTTTGGCTGAGTCTCAGAACTGACTCCTAAAAACTGACTCCTTTTGCAGTTCCTTTCTTATGCTAGTCTGGCTGGTGCTGAAATTATCCAAGGTGTTTTTACTTGGGTAGTGAGGGCTTTTCACCTGAGTCTTCACAATGAACTCTCAAACCCTACACTATTGCATGACTGAGTGTGGTTTAGAAAACACTCATGGCCGTGGCTTTATGGCTGTACCAGTCATGAACAACCCCTATATCAAGTACTCGGGGTGCAAAATTAATTTCACGTGCTTCCACAGGCAGCAGCAAAAGAAACTGCTCTTGCTTCGGGTTATTTTCTTTGTAGTGAGAATAAAAGAAAAGGGACCACCTCGTGTTAGGGTAGAAGCCAGCCTCATTTAGAGGGCTGTGTGGGAGGGATGGGTTTCTTTCCCTCTTGTTCTCAGGCTTTTAAACGTGTTTGCAGTTACAGACTAACAAGGAAAGACAGAACTGAGTGGTTGTGCTTTGAGGAATGATGTGAGAGGTGGGCAAGGAAAGAGCTTTCAAAAACTGGGAGGGGATAAAAAGAGAAGAGGAAGAAAAAACAGTATAGCAGGACTTTTAGGCTAATTTTTTAGGTGTCATTTTGAAGTTTCCTCCATCTTCGATGTCCGTTCAGCAGTGTCTCTGAAGCTCCTGCCAAACAGTGATTCACCAGAGGAAGAGTTTTGGTTTAGTTTCTAAAGCATTTGCTTTATAAAAATAAAACTCCCAAACAAGCCTTCCCTGTGGCTAGATTGGCTGTTGGCTGTTACACCACGCTGGTGTACTCTCCTGCTAGTAAACATTACCTCGCAGGAATCCAGTAGTTGCCGAGTATTTCTTTTTTCACCTGGGAAATTAAAATAAAGTGAGGAAAGTACATCTTAAACCTGACAGTTCAATATTGGTTTTCTCACAGTGGTGTTTAAATAACCAAGACATTAAGGAAGTATCTAGAGAAGAGAGTTGTGGATTAGATCGAATAGCTAAAAGCCACTAAATATTGAGAAAGGAATGTGGTGTATTGAGCACTGAATCTGGATAATCTGAAGGGGAGTAGGAGTTTGGGTCTGGGGTGGGAGACAGGAGAGAGAGGCGCTCCTGTGCTGTGCTCAGAAGCGATGGGAAGAGATCAGTCGTGCTCTGGTGGGGCTTATTGAACTCAAAACCGATCAGCAATAACCTCTGGAAACAAGAAACCCAAAGGGCTTTGTGGTGTTGTGCCCCTCTGGGGAGTCGTGCCCAGCAAGTCTGAGGTGGCTGCTGCTCCTCTGCCTGCGCCGCCGGGCTCTCAGAGCACTTTCCAAAGCTGTCCATTTAGTTTGTCTTTGCTTCTATTCTCTGAAATGCAGACTGTGTGGCAGCTGCTGGGGAGGGAGAGGAGGGGAGAAGGCTGGAGCCTTCATCTGCATGTTGCTCGCAGAAAGCTGTTTGCATACTGCACAGAAAAGGAAGTCTGTCACCGTATTTTATTTGCAGGTTGTTTTTTTGCTCTAGCACTGTCTGTTCTTGTCGGCTGCTGTGTTTCTGTGAAAATGTATTTTTAAAACTACTAATAAAATGGTATTTAACTGCTTCAGAAAAGTCAGCCTTCTATTAAAAGCAGCGAGAGCTGAGAGGCCTGGAGGAGACTGCGTGGCTTTGATTGCTTCAGCTGCTCCCTGCGCGTTGGGGCAGAGGTGAAAAGTAAAGTATGGGCTAAGCAAAATGTCAACAGGATTTCCGCTGGGTCCTTCCACTGTTGTGGTGAAGTCTTTGCTTTCTTAAACTAAAGAGGTCTTTGCTTTTGGACTTGCAGAGCAGGTGGAGGAGGAGGAAGGGGAGAAGGAGCTTTCTCCATCATCAGCGACTGTATTTCAGAGCAAATGTGATCTATTGTCCAGGCGTGCTAATGCCTACTTGATTAACAGATACTGAAGGGAGCTGGGTATTAAAAGAAGAAGTCGGTGTTGTTTCTGTAATTGGACTGTCACTGTGTCTGGATGTACTTCTCCTGGAAGGAGAGTTAAACAGCACTGGCTCAAGCCAAAGGAATTACTCTCTTGCCAGGGCACTCGTAGCAGATTCACAGCTCCTTCTCCCATCTCCTGCAGGCTCTAAAGTGCAGTGTGCTGCCATCCCTTAGGGGTACTCTCACCTGGGATAGATGGGCCTCCCTCCCTGCCACCTGTAGAAAATCAATCCCAAACCATTTAGCTCTGAAAATGGTTTTCTGGCCGGATCTCGAGCGCTGCGCAGTCCCTGTGATGGAGTCGGCACGGGGCGCTCTCCTGCGCTGCAGCGTGCAGGCGATGTGATCTCCGGTGTCTGTGCTGTGGTCACCTTGAATGTGTATTGCTGCCTGCCACGAATGTCTTCAGCCTCATGCCATGAAGTAACATCACCACCATACCAACAGTGTTTTAATCCTGCAAAGTGGCACTAAGTGCCATAGGGCTTGTTTCTGCAGGAAAAGAAGACACAAGGTTGCTTTGAGTTTATAGGAATACTTCTATTTGTGATCTTGTTCATACTGATTTTATCTTTCCTCTAAACTTTCAAGACCCTCTGTTTACCTACTTGCGTATATGTGGGTCTGTCTCATCCATATTACGTGGTGCAGGGCTGTCTTCAGTACCTTTCTGCCAGCCTAGTCCGTGCTGTGTGGGATTTCAAACGTGTCTGAGCAACACAGAGTTCCTCTCCCAATGGATGTCCCAGCTTCTGAACGCAAACCTGGTTGCAGGTTTAAAACCTCTGGCTCAGCATCCCACTTCTGCCATGGGCTGATAGCTGTGCCGAGGGACAGAGGGACAGAAACAGGACAGATTGCTTGCAATTAGTGCTTTGGGATCTTCCCAAGCAGGGTTTGACCTCAACTGACATTAGGGCATGGGATTCTCTATCAGCCTCTCCACCTACTGTCTTCTCTTGGTCTTTCTCTGTTCATCTCTTCATCTCTTGCATTTGCCTGGTGCATTGGGCAGATGGATCTCCACCAGCCTCCTGGATCACAGAGGACAGTTCATTTGCAGTGGGGAAGGACTGTTCTGATGAGGCACTTGTTAGCCTGATTGAGAAGTTCCAAAAGTTTGCTCATGATTATTACTACAGAATTAGGATTTGCAGTGCAGAAGGACTGTTCTCATGAGGCACTTGTTAGCCTGATTGAGAAGTTCCAAAAGTTTGCTATTACTAGAGAATTAGGAAATAGAGCAGTTTTGTGTCGCTCATAGCAATATCCCAGAACCTGCAGAGGTTTGGGCAGTCCTCTTCCCTTGCGGTTCCTGGGAAAGCACATCATCTAATGGCCTTCATCTGGAGCTGCTGTTTCCACAGCTTCTTTCCAGGTCCTTATTTCAGAGAGGCATTTAAGAGAGACTTCTGATTTCCAGCAGTGGTCTGTGAGTCCTGTGGTAACTGCTGAGAAGTTGTCGAAGGGTAAGTTTTGTGCTCCACCTGAGGCACTGTCGCATTCTCTCAAATTTCTGAAACTGAGGTTGACATTAAAACCGAAATACAGACTTTGGTGTAAAAATTACGTCATCTTTTGAACAAGCAAAATAGGTAAGTGAAACAGCAATATTTATTTTCTTTAATCTATTTTTAAAAATTGATTAAGTAGAAGATAAAGTAAAAATGGGGCCACTTGGGACATCAAGACAAAGTGTACTGCATGCTTGGCATGGATTTCTGTATCTGAAGGTGGCACATTCTGATGGCACAGCTTTCCAAAGGGTG